ACCTGGAGAGGGCCAAGATGGGGCTTGGGGGCGTGCCTGACAGGAGCCACCTGGCCTGCGCCAAGGCTGACCTGGAGGAAGTGGTCAGAGTGTGCCCAGGCCTTAAGACCTACCTGGACATCGGCCAGGTAAGGCTGCCTCCCTTGGCTTGGTTAGTCAATAGCTTACCAAAAACCTCTTTAATATCTGCCAGGCGGGGCCTGGGCCCTGGGAATACAGAGACGAATAAGGAACATCCCAACCTCCCTCCACTAGTCATGGTGAAGATTAAATAATTTGTGTACAGTTTTGATTTTTTTTTTTTTTTGAGACAGACTCTTACTTTATCACTCTGGGTAGAGTGCCAGGGCATCTAAATCACAGCAACCTCAAACTGCTGGGTTCAAGTGACCCCCTTGCCCAGGCCTCCCGAGTAGCTGGGACTACAGGTGCCTGGCACAACACCTGGCTAGTTTTTCTATTTTTAGTAGACACAGGGTCTTGCTCTTGCTGAGGCTGGTCTCAAACTCCTAACCTCAGGTAATCCCCTTACCTCAGCCTCCCAGAGTGCTAGATTTGTAGGCGTGAGCCACAGCGCCCAGCTGTGTAGTTTAGAAGAGGGTCTGGCTCCTTCTAAGAGCTCAGATAGTGTGAACCATTATACTTTTTTTTTTTTTTTGAGACAGAGCCTCAAGCTGTTGCCCTGCGTAGAGTGCTGTGGCATTACAGCTCACAGCAACCTCCAACTCCTGGACTCAAGTGATTCTCCTGCCTCTGCCTCCTAAGCAGCTGGGACTACAGGCACGCGCCACAACGCCCAGCTATTTTTTGGTTGCAGCCATAATTGTTTGGCGGCCGGGATGGATTTGAATCTGCCAGCTCAGGTGTATGTGGCTGGTGCCTTAGCAGCTTGAGCCACACGTGCCGAGCCATGAACCATTCATTATTCTTTATGTAGATAATATCTATTCTCTGTGCTCAGGGAAGAGACGACAAATATCATCATTTTACATGAGACTACTGAGGTCCAGAGATAGACTCACTCAAGGTTATATGGCTAAGAATGGAGGGGCTGGCACTGGAATCCCAGCACACTCTTTTTGTAGTGGGACAGGGATAAAATGTGATTAATGATCGCCAACGGAGGGGGGGTGGGAACAAATGGAATTTATTTATTTATTTATTTATTTTGAGATAGAGTCCCACTTTATCGCCCTTGGTAGAGTGCTACAGCAACCCTCATCCTAAACTCCCCTGAAATAGCACCCATCGGTAGTCCCTACAGCTCACAGCAACCTGGCTCGAGTATCTGGGGCTTACAGGCGCCCGCCAGAACGCCTGGATATTTTTGCAGTTTGGCCGGGGCCAGGTTCCAGCCCGCGACCCTCGGTATATGGGGCCGGCGCCTTACCCACTGAACTTTTTTAAAAGTAAGATGGGGAGGGAATGACCAGGAGCAGCGACTTTAGGGGAGGAAGGCTCACCCCGCTGTCCCCACCCCAGGTCTACTACTACATGGGCGTGGACGCGATGCAGGAGCTGCTGGCCGTGGACGAGGAGGCGCTGAACCAGGCGCTGGTCTTCCTGGCCAAGGCTGGCGAGTCGGAGCTGGGCGCCACTCTGCCCGAGCTGCAGCTGCTGCGTGGCAAGTGCCTGCGCATCAAGGGCGAGGAGGCCAACGCGGCGGCCTGCTTCAAGCGCGCAGTGGAGCTGGATGACGCTGGCTCCAGCCACACCGAGGGCTTCGGCTGCCTGCTCGAGGCGCTGCTGGCGCAGTGGAGCCAGGCGCAGCTGAGCGACGGCGAGCTGGCCCGCGAGGTGGACGTTTGGCTGCGCCGCGCACAGGACAAGTACCCGGCGGCGAGCCTGCGCCAGGAGCTGCAGCGCGTGTGGCGCGGCCACACGGACGAGGTGCTGGGGCTGGCCCGGGCCTTGGTGGCCCAGGGACGGCCGGCGCTGGTGCGGCTGCTCTTCGAGACCATGGAGCGTGAAGGCGAAGGCGCAGGGGCGCCGCGGGGCCGCAGGGCGCTCTCCCTTTGAGGCACAGAGCCCAGGCCCAAAGCCTCCGCTAAAGACGCCGAGGCCCCGCCCCTCCACCGCTGATTGGGCTAAGTCTGCACGCTTCAGACCGGCCTGTCCTGCCATAGGCTGGCTGGTGAGCGGAGCCAATCACATCCTCCGTGGGGAATTTGGGATTCCGGAAACCCGAAGAGCCTAACGCAGTTTGAAGCGCCCACTGGGGCAGGAAGGTCTGTCGCGGGAGAGCAACGGAGGCTAGAAGCGGCGGGGAGAGGTTACTGTGACTGAGAAACTGCTAATTAGGGGGCAGAATTTTGCAGACATGCAGAAAATAAGATGGCTGCAAGGCTGTTGAGAGAAAAAGAGAATTGCCTCGGTTGTGGTGGTGTTCTAGTCTGGGTGCTCAATCCCTGAGGCCGGAGTGCCTGTCTTTGGAGTCCCAGGAGCCACGGTCCTTAAAAGCCCCCTTTACTGAAGCTGACTGGAGTGGGTCTCAGGTCCTGCAGCTAGAAAAGCCCTAGCTAGAACAGAGGGCCGGGTTGCACAGGGAGTGAGTTTAGGGCAGGGACCTAGCCTAAGCCCGGGAGCTCAGGACTCTCTCCTTTCTCTCTACCGGTTTTACAGCAACCCTTATCCTAAACTCCCCTGAAATAGCATCCATCGGTAGTCCCTTTACTTGACTTCCCTGTTCTTAGGGAAACCTAGGGACCCTAGCAGGAAGTGCCCCCAATCATGAACAATCTACAAGAGAAGAAAGAAAATACTGGAGTTTTACACAGTTGGAACCATAGTCATAGCATCTTAGATGTGGAAATGGGTCAAAGACGGATTACCACCAGATCTTGAAATGGCTGGGCTGGATTCGGTGACCTAACACACAAGCTCTATTTGAACCCAAAACTCCAGTTTAAGTTCTTGCCAGACTCCAGGAGTGCTGGTTGTACGTCGCTGCAACAGTAAGCTCCCCACGATGGTCTGTAATAACCTTTGACATATTTTGCTTTCTTCATATCCCTGGCCTTAGACTTTACCAGGGACCAGCCAGCACCCCTGCACTGCCCCTTGTCTGTCCTCTGACGGCTGGAGAACAGACTGAAATGCAGGGCCCCAGAGACCACACACTCCAGCCCCTTCACTGGGCAGCTGGGAAAACTGAGAGCCATGGAAGGGAGGTGGCTCACCAAAGCCACACTTGCCATCCTCCCCACTCTGCACCTCAAGCTCACCATCACCACTTTTCAGGTTTACAAAAATATTAATAAACTGATCAACACTAAAGCATTCAGTGTTTCTGCATTAAAGGGTTAAGTGTCATTTGTTACGTGGGGTACACTGATAGCCACTGGGACAGTGCTTAAACACTAATGGTGGCATTCCACGTACCTGTGGGCAGCGAGGCCACCTGAAGGCCCCTGATTCTACCTGGCTCACCACTTGGGGCGGTGACTTTCTCTCCCTCCCTCCTTCTCCTTTCACTTCCATTGCAACAGAGGCCAGGAGGTGAGTCAACAGCAGTGTTCACACATAGCCCAGTTCACTTTTCCCACACCCATTCTATCCCTTCTCCACCCCAGGCTGCGACCTATGACCTCCCTGGAATGGGAACCCCTCCCTTTCCTCTCCTTCCCTAAACAGATGAACTAAACATAAGGCATTGGGGCTGGCGGGTTCGAACCAGCCCCGGCCTGCTAAATAAAAATAAACAACAATGCAGTTTGCTGGCAAAACTTACAAGTTGAGGAATTTTGTCTTTTTCCCGCAGGCTTCGCAGTTGGCTTGTTTCCTGTCTTGCCTTTCCTGTCCCCAAAGTCATGCATTTCTCCCCCCATTTACCTCCTGCTCCTGTCATACCCTTCTCAATAAACTCTCTTTCCACTTGGTGCCCATAGCCCAGTGGTTAGGGCACCAGCCACATGTACCGAGGCTGGCGGGTTCGAGCCCGACCCAGGCCTGCTAAACAATGACAACTGCAACAATAACAAAAACAGAACACCGGCACCTGTAGTCCCAGCTACTTGGAGACTGAGGCAAGAGAATTGCTTAAGCCCAGGAGTTTGAGGGTGCTGTGAGCTGTGATGCCACAGCACTCTACTGAGGTGACATAGTAAGACTCTGTCTCAAAAAAAATAAAAAAGGGACACCCGTAGCTCAGTGGGTAGGGCACCAGACACATACACCCAGGCTGGTGGTTCAAACCCAGCCTGGGCCAGCTAAACAGCAGTGAATGACAGTGAATGACAGTGCAGTGAATGACAACTGCAACAAAAAATAGCCAGGCGTTGTGACAGGCTCCTCTAGTCCCAGCTACTCTGGAGGCTAAGGCAGAGAATCACGTAAGCCCAAGAGTTTGAGGTTGCTGTGAACTGTGACGCTATGGTACTCTACTGAGGGTGACATAGTGAAACCCTGTCTCAAAAAAAAAAAAGGGGGTGGCACCTGTGGTTCAGTGAGTAGGGTGCCCCATATACTGAGGGTGGTGGGTTCAAACCCAGCCCTGGCCAAACTGCAACAAAAAAATATCTGGACATTGTGGTAGGCGCCTGTAGTTCTAGCTACTCGGGAGGCTGAGGCAGGAGAATCACCTAAGCCCAAGAGCTGGAGGTTGCTGTGAGCTATGACGCTATGGCACTCTACTGAGGGTGACAAAGTGAGACTCTGTCTCTTAAAAAAAACAAACAAAAAAAACTCTCTTCCCAACATCTCATTCACACTAATCATATAAATGGCTAACACCTACTACAGCTTCTCAACTACATAGTAACAAAAAGTCAAAACCAGAAAACCCCGTTTCCCAGCATGCCTACTACGTGCTAGGCCCTTTTCAACAATCTTGAAGGCTGCCTGTTAGAATCCTCATTTCATGGATGAGGTACGTGAGACACAGAATGAGGCTGCAGATTAAGTAAAGAGGCAGGATTTGAACTAGGCCGGCCCATTCCTGCTGTCTCCTGGAAACACAGCCCTTCTATGTCATCTTTGGTCTGGAGCTGGGCCTCCCTGGGGCCCTGTGAACACCAGCCTGACCCCCATATCTGCTTCCAAACTGCCTTCCCTCTGTGCCTTTGGGCATCCTGGTCCTCCGCTGGCCTTTTCCTGCCATTTCTAGCCCAAGAGTCTTGCCAGATCCTCCCCCCCTCATGAATCACTCCCTCTTACGCATGGAGCACTTTGGGGGTTTTACATTAATTTCCTCTCTTAGAATGTCTGCATTTCTGCTGCCCCCACTCGACTCTGAGTTCTTCATAGCAGGAACATCTGATTCAACCCCCTGGCCCTGCTCTGAGCCTGGCATACAAAACAAGCTTTGTTTTGGTTGTTAAACTGAGTAAAGACACGGCAGTCACAAAGCATCTCAGTCCCAAACGTGTCCATAGGAGTGAGGCTGAGGCGTGGTCTGCAGCCCAAGGACCCTTGAGATCTAGAGCTCAGCCAGAAAACACGATCTTCTTTCTACCTCCTATCCAGCTTTACGCCAGCTCCCCAATTCTGCAATTGGAAAATCGAAGCCCAAGAGCACGGACTTGTCCAAGGCCAAGCTCATACTTCCAGGCTTAGGGTCCACCGTCCTCTGCCCTTGCAGGGATATCTGTTTATCAATTTCACATCTATCAAATTTCGGAGCATCATCACAGGTTTTCCATGAATTCATTCAACAAGTATTTACCCAGTACTGGCCAAGTGCCAAGCATAGAGCCAAATTCTGGGGCTATAGTGGGAAGCAAAACAGACCTGGTCCTTGCTTTCAAGGAGTTCACAGTTTGCACCACACACAGCAGGTTATGCCAGGCCCTGTGGGCGACAGTGGGGATCTAGAAGCTCTATAGAAAGCTATTAAAGGTTTTAGCCGGCAGAGCTGACTATCACTGTTCCTCTACCCCAGCCCTACTCAGGCTGGGTTAGTGGCCTTTATACAGCCCAGTGGAGAAGAGAGCATGGCTGGCCCTGGGCCTTGGGAGCTGGCTCTTGGCCGCCCCTCTTCAGCACGACACTCCTAAGACAAAGCCTGGCAGTTCCCTGGGTCTGTAGCTCCAGCTGGGGAGGGTGATCTCTAATTACGGCTTTGAGCCCTGTGGGACTCCTGTCTACCTGGTGGTGGGGAGGACAACTGCCATGCTGCAGAAGTAGGGGTTCCTCAGGGGAGCACTGCAGAGTGAAAGCCTCAATGACCCCATAATCAGAGTGATGAAGATGAATCACACCTTGTGCTGCCTGCCCACTCCTTCCTCTGTGTCTAGCAGCCATCACAGGGCAGCCAGAAATTCCCATTTAGAGAGCAGGAACACGGGCAGCACCTGTGGCTCAGTGAGTAGGGTGCCGGCCCCATATACAGAGGATGGCAGGTTTGAACCCGGCCCTGGCCAAATTGCAACAAAAAATAGTTGGATGTGTTGGTGGGCACCTATAATCCCAGCTACTCGGGAGGCTGATGCAAGAGAATCACCTAAGCCCAAGAGCTGGAGGTTGCTGTGAGCTGTGATGTCACAGCACTCTACCCAGGGTGACAAAGTGAGACTGTCTTTAAAAAATAAAAAAATAATTGCACGAGCAAGGCACATTAAAACTCATGAAAATGGGTGAGATTGCTTAGCTATAGGTTTCTAGTGTCTCAGAGTTGGAAATCTCCTTAGTCATCACCTCTTTCAGCCTCCCCATCTGGAGCAGAACTCCTCTCTTATGAGTAATTCTGGAAGGAAGGTCTAAACACTTGCATGCCTCTGTCAGAAAGGCAGCTCACTACCTTATGAAGGAATCAATCCGTTTTTCAACAGGTCTAAGTCTTCTGAATTTGTCCTTCTATTTTTGTTTTTTTTGGTTTTTGGCCGAGGCTGGGTTTGAACCCACCACCTCTGGCATATGGGGCCGGCGCCCTACTCCTTGAGCCACAGGCGCTGCCCCAATTTGTCCTTCTATTGAGTTGAAATCTTTTCTGTAATTTCTTTCCTTGATTCAGGTCAACCTTCTGGGGCCATACAGAACAGACCCTGATAAGCAGAGTGACCCTGAAGAAGTTACTTTCCTCTGGCCGGTGTTCTCTCTCTCTGTTGTGGCACCTGTTACTATTACAGTATTTGAGTTGATCAGAGAGTGCCTGGCTACTCTGCCAGCGTCCAGACTGAGCTCAGAGATGGCCACCCGGCCTGAAGCCCACCCAGAGTGGGTGCTAGCAGCTGACAGCAGAACAGAACAGGGTTTCTTCCCATCCCTAATCAGACCCCAAGGGAGCACCCTGTGTGGATGATGGTGGCTGGATGCCAAATGAAGTGAAATATCTCTTTTTCTCAGGCTGTTAACTTTTTTTCTTGTTTAAGGAAGGGGAGGATAATGACATTTAGCACTTTACAACTCAGCAGTAAAATGAGCAGATGGAAACAGATCCTGG